GTTCATCAGGCTCTGTTTCAATCAATGGTTTTAACGAAGTAAACAAATTTAAAGGGCCCATATTAAGGAAAATCTAATTCAATAATAATAATAAGTCTGGTTCCATTGACTTACATTAAAAGCAAAGTAGGTTTTTTCCTTCCCCTGTAAAGTTACCATTTTGGAGATACAAGGTTTTCTTCCGACAACAGCAATATATTAATATTGTTTTTATATTTTATAATATTTTAATAAAGTAGTGTTGACAGGCTTAAATATCAATGCGTTTCACTCTGGCTCCTCTAACATAACATGTTTTCCACTTACAGTCTTATGCAAAGTTTTGGCATCCTGGTCCTCTACAGAGAATACACTTAAATATGACATTTTCCAACAAATGTTATTGTGCAGGTTCTATTTAAAAATAAAATGATCTAATAAAACACAAAATGTGGCACGTGCCCAAACTTTGACACATTCTATGACACGTTCTATGGTCTCCAATATGTTCACTCTGCAAGAAGCAGAGTGGAGTGGTATGAAGAATGTGGTATGAGGCTGTGGGTATGGCATGTGTCCAGTGCAGGAGATTGAAGTCTAAACATCTCTGAGTCTGGGTTCCTCTGCTTGTTTTGCTTGTGAAGGTGGAGGAGCGTGCCAGAATGGACTTCAGGGTGAGCTTGCTGCTTCTGTCTCTAGCTGCGGTCATGGTGTCTGGCCAGAGGAGACGCCCTGTTAAAGAGGAATGGAATTATCGTGAAGGCTGTAAGCTCCTTTTCTTTTTCTTGTAATCCAAATGAGTGTCCGGTGCATATTACTCATTGATTCACAGCATTGTGCTCCCTTAAACTTCCAAACTTCTACTAGCCATTCCGACAACTTAATAATAACTCAGTCATTTTGCATGGTTTTCTGTGTAATTCTGTGTAAAGCCTTAGGATGGCTCAGGTCCATTTAACCCTTGTGTGGTGTTGATGTGTTTGGTACTCAGTGGTCTGGTGGACCCACCACATTATTGTTGTTTAAATCATTACAGCCATAACAATTTATATGAAAATACCAGATGTTTAAAATATCACAAGTGTCCAGCGTAGGGTTCTCCTTTAGCAGCTGTAGCCAGTCAGCAGCCTGTCTATGTTGTCCATCCTCACACACACACAAACACACACACACACACACACACACTAACAGCAGGCCATGTAGGAGGAGAACAGAGTGAAGGACACAGCACCTCCACACTTTTACTCCCCGCAGGTTCACCCAACCCCACATGTGTAATATAAATGTGTGGGGGGTGAACAGTGTGAAGACACTGAAAATGGGTTATTTTATATGATCTTCACAGAAAATAAGGACAAGAAATCTGAGGTTGAAATAATAATAAATCTCATCAGTTTTTCTTTTAATCTCACTGAAAATGGGTCCCACAGAACCGAACACCACACAAGTGTTAAAGGGTTAACAGGCCTTTGTTTATTATATATTTTGTTCAGTGTGTTTTCACTCAGAACGGTCATCAATACTCAGTTTACATGGTAATAAAATGGAACGTTCTAATGTGTTTGGCCTTTGGGTCTCCAGCGGAGAAAGTGAACATGCGAGGCGTGGCCAACCTGACTCAAGTTCTGGATGACTGGAGGTTTGATATCCTGAACAGAATCAAGGGTCTTCTACAGAATGACCACCAGACCCTGTTGCCGGACTACTCCAGGTAGAATTAAGGATGGGCTAAAAACTGTGGACACCACATACTATCACAATATTTTATACAGAGGACATTTTACATGTCACAAAGTATCAAAACCTTTAACGCCAGAAAACCAAAAGGTTCCACCTTTATGGTTTTTGGTATCTGCTCAAGATTGGTAACAGAACCCACTGTGTTCTCCTCTGCAGCTGAAAACAACAACAATTTAGCAACTTCTTTACACTTTCCAGTGAATATGAGGTCAGCGCTATTATATCACCAACAAATGCACCAAAGTATAGACTACACTCTGTAAACATGGCTCTTCAAGGGTTCTTTAGTAAGGAACATAGAACTATTCAATACTTAGGTTCTTCAAATGGGATGGAAGATGTGTTGTATATGGTTCTATATAGAACCTTTTTTGAAAATGGTTCCATATAGCGCTTAAAAGGGTTCTGCTATCATTATAAGCTTGACATTGTAACAATAGCAGAACCTTTTTTGGTGCTGTGTAGTACCATAAATATTGCATTCTCCGTCCGTCTGTAGAACCATTTCACCATGTAAAGAACAGCATGCAAATGGTTCTATATAGAACTCATGGTTCTAAACAGTTTTTACATGGCACAAAGTATCAAAACCTTCAACGCCAGAAAACCGAAAGGTTCCACCTTGCTTTTTGGTATGTACTTAAGATTGGTAACAGAACCCACTGTGTTCTCCTCTGCAGCTGAAAACAACAACAATTTAGCAACTTCTTTACACTTTCCAGTGAATATGAGGTCAGCGCTATTATATCACCAACAAATGCACCAAAGTATAAACTACACTCTGTAAACATGGTTCTTCAGGAGTTCTTTAGTAAAGAAAATGGTTCTATTCAGAACCATACAGAACCATTCAGTACTTAGGTACTTCAAATGGGATGGAGGATGTGTTGTATATGTTTCTATATAGAACCTTTTTTGAAAATGGTTCCATATAGCGCTTCAAAGGGTTATGCTATCAATATAAGCTTGACATTGTAACAATAGCCGAAGCTTTTTTGGTGTTATGTACCATAAACATTGCATTCTCCATCCATCTTTAGAACCATTTCACCATGTAAAGAACCGCATACAAATGGTTCTATATAGAACTCATGGTTCTAAACAGAACCATTCCCTTTACTAAAGAACACTTGAACCATCTTTTTTAAGAGTGTAGCGCGGTATGTTGATGTATCTATTGCTATTTTTTAGACTCTTTGTAAAGAGTTTGTTAAGGATAATGAATGAGCTACTCAGGAAGACAATGCTAATGTTTTTAGCATCAATGCTAGCGGTTTAGCATAGTTTGTTGTGGAAACATAAGCTAGCGAGGAGGCTAACCCTGCTGCTATCAGCATGTATGCTTGTGGCCGGAGAATATTTCTGCTCAGATTTTCTCTCTCAGAGAAGATTATAAGCTTTGTTTGATTCGACACATGATTCTGTGTAATTTTAGATATTTCTGAACTCTGTACTGTATTATTTACTGTCAGCAACTAACTGTTAGAGAGAAAAATGAAAGCTGTGCTTGAATCTACACATCTGTCTATGCAAATATAGACATTTGTAAGTGTGTTGGCAAAGACCACCCTGCTGAAAAAAACAGCAGACCAGCAGCCATTCCATACTGGTCTAAGCTGGTTTATGTTGGTTTATGCTAGTAAGTAAGTAAGTAAGTAAAGTTTATTTATATAGCGCTTTTTACAACAGGTGTTGTCACAAAGCAGCTTTACAAGGAAGTCAGCATTACAGAAAGAAATCAGGGTCCAAGCCCCCATGAGCAAGCCAGAGGCAACAGTGGCAAGGAAAAACGTCCTAAGAAACAGGAAGAAACCTTGTGGGTCAGGTTGTGAGGGTGAGGTTTGCACGGCGTAGTACAGCATGGAGCTTGATGGTGGTCAAGCCGGTCCAGAGGGCTGGCGAGCAGTGGCACCCAATCAAGGCAGAAGAGGCAGCAGCATCAGATGCACAGGATGGGTAGCTGTTCAACTCGGCAAAGGAAAGAAAGAAAGGAAAGGAAAATCACACAGAGAGTCAGTTCTGTAATGGGTGACTAGTGCTGGTTTAGCTGGTTACCCAGCACAGTCATTCTGGTTGACCAGCATAACAGCAAGGTTTTGTTCCGCTGCTGTCGGAACAAAACCTTGTATCGCCAAAATGATAACTTTACAGGAGAAAGACAAAACCTACTTGACTTGTAATGTAGGTCAATGGAACCAGACTTTTTTCCAAATAATTTTGGGGCATTTATTTTGGCCTTTTTATAATGAAATTTATACACATTGTCAAAGGCAACAGGCATTTTTAAATTATGTAAAAAACTGAAAAACGACAAAAATGGAGATACAAGGTTTTGTTCCGATAGCAGCAATATGCTGGTTTTGGTGGTGACCAGCCATGCTAGTCAATGCTGGTGTTTCCAGTAGGGCAGTGCAGTATATTGTTTCATATCAGCCAAATTAGATGCTTTAGAGTGATTATGAAGGTCTCTCAGGAACATGGAAAATGAACTAGAACTAGAACCATAAATTCCTGTTGGTTGCCCTTTAGGTCAGTTCTTGTTTTTGACAGTGTATTAAGCCCATTGATAGCCTACTAGGATATCAAAATGCATGATTGTCATATATCATCCCTTCTGAAAAAATTGGCATATCACAGACCTTTGCAATTGTTGCAATAGAATCATACTGTGGCTTAAGTATCGTGATAGTATTATATCATCTGGCTTCCAGTGTTTCCTACATAACATGTGCTTTTCATTTATTCCTGACTCAAATATTCATCATCACTTAGCGTTTAGATAAACATTCTTTGTTTATTATGCACAGAAAACATGGCAGGGACAGAAAATTGCTAGTTTGGGGTGCACACTAATGCCAGGACTGAGTTCCTGGATTTATTTTAGAGCAGACCATCTCATTATGTCTGAAAAACACTTGGAAACTTTTGCAGACTTTTACATGCTCAATCAGAAACTTCCAGACTCCTTATGGTTTGGACTCCATTCAAGCCCCTGTCCCTCACGGCACACGGCCAGCAAATCATAAACCCAGTCATGGTCAGACTCAGGCCTTTTACCAATGGTGGGGAATACATTAAAAATAGAACAAAACCATTCTTAAAGACATTTTCACCATAGACAGTATCACAATATTTAGGTTTTCTAACAGAGTGCACCAGCAAAACAGCAGAAACACGTTCATAAAAGGCTATAAATCAATGTTTGAAAAATTAAAGGGCCCATCTCCTGCATTTATACTGGTATTTGAAACACTTATGATGTCTGAGCTGTTTTGTGCACCAAAAATAGTTAATAATTTAATAATAATAATTTATTTTCACATGACCATTTCCCAACCTCTCTTTAAGCAGACTGTTTTGTTACTGTGCCTTTAAGGCTGATATATGTAAATGATCTCTGTTCTGATTGGCTGCCCTGTATTGCTCCTCATGGCACAAGCTTGAAAGCAGTTTAGAATAAATCTGAATAATAATAATAGTAAGAAGAAGAAGAAGAAGAAGAAGAAAAGAAGATGATGTCATAATGGACTGCCATCCAATCAGCTATGAGTTACTATGCATTTTTAATGCATGCAGTTGTTTATTGTTCTTAAAAGGGGAACTCCACTGCTTTTTCAAAATTTCTGCATATATAAATAAATTGTTAATATGTAAACAAAGTCATTCAGAGTGGTTTTATATGATATGCTCAGTTCTAGAAAAACTTACTAAGTCAGAATTGTTCACAGTGGTGGTGATAGGAACCAGACGTCCACCTCTAAAAGCTCCCTTATAGAAAATTATTACATGAAATGGTTATGAATTCACAGCCTGATGTTTTGAGAACATATTGTTTGAAATCTTTTTGTGTTGGAGAGGTACATGCAGGGACTGTTTTACCATCATCATTGTTACATATAAGAGCTCAGAAAACACGTGTAGGTTCACTGGTGGTTTTGGATAGTAAATAAAATGGCTATATTTGTGTTGTAGTCATGGTGACCCCTGGTTCCCATCACCACCACTGTGAAGACATCTGAACCATTTCACACCAAACCACTCTGAGTGACTCTGTTCACATCTCAACCACTGAATTATGCAGAAACCTCAAGTGTTGCTCAGAAAAGCATTATCAGTATTGTGATGTACTTTACAACACTGCTTTAATGACGATGCCGCCCACCTCTTCTCATCCTCCTGCCTTTATTAATGACCTTTTCAGGATCCAGCCTCTCTCAGAGGCCTTGGATGACCTGTACAAGGAGTTCAATGCTCTGAAGGCTCACCTTGGCGACCTGACGGAGAAGTTTGGGCCCATTGAGACTTTCATTGACGAGCTGAAGGCGGAAAAGGCCGCCAGAGGTACAACCGGAGCTACAACTGGTGAAGCGCCCGGAGCTGCGGGTTTCCCCCCATTTCGGAGGAGAATCATCAAGAAGAAAACTCCAATCTCGTGAAAGCGAGGAGCTTTCTGAGAAATCCCAGATAGAGCTGGCACTCTCTCCGAAGCCGTAGACAGCAAATCACCTTGATATACGTTTGTATGATGCTTTATTTTCCGTAGAGCTTCTCAGTCTTTTTAGCATCTTGTTACTGCATGTTGCTGGGAAACTGGTGATATACAATATGCTGACCGAGGTAAAATTGCCCCCGCTCCCCCACACCCCACACCACACACCCCCCTACCCCACACCCCCACCCCTTTTTGTTTTTTTGTGGTTTTGCTGTAAGCAAAAGCCCCAGTTGGGGAGTGTAGAAGTCTACAATAAGAGCATGCATGGAGTAGCTGGTAGGCTATGTAGTAGGTTATGATAGCACAGTGTATACATCATCTCAGATTATGCTATATATGTATATATATCTTTATATGTGTACGAGTTATCACCATCTACAATTATATACTTTGATATCATAAATATTGTCACTGTCAAATCAAAATCTCACCTTCGATTTGTAGTTTTTGGCACCATCTGAAAACAGCAGCTGCCCTTTACATTGAACATTTCATGAAAAGGACCAATAGAAAAGGTCCAAAATAGAATCTGGTTAAACATTAAAGGGTCCATATTATGGAAAACCAAATCTCACTTTCTGAAATAAATTTGATCTAGAATATAAACATTGTAAACGTTTTAAAAGTGCTCTGCTCACTCCCCAGTCCATACAGTCCATATATGGAAACTAGGCTGCAAAAAACAGCCTGTTTTGAAACCATTGTTTTTGTGATGTCACAACAAACCAGTGCATTTCATCTGTCCGCCTGAAGTTACAATCTATCACATTGAAGTTATAAGGAGTGTTTCAGCCTTGGCTGCTTATTGAGGCACACTACAGATCAACCATTCGGAACAGAGCTCATTTACATATGTCAATCTTAAAGGCACAATTATGAAAACAGCCTGTTTAATTCTAAGGAATAAAGTGAGCTTGGAAAATGGTCAGGGGAAAAAATAAACGATGACACAAAACAACACAGATTTCATAAAAAAGGTGAATGTGGGCCCTTTAATGAGGTTTTGTCTTGACAGTGACAACATGCAAAACGCAGTAAATCCAATTTAGATGACACGAAAACAAGCATTGCAAACAAGGTATATGGAAAAATCCTAAGTGACTCATAACGACCAATGACATGCCTGTTCTAACACGCACGGCACGTTTCTGATATATGAGCTAATTATTTTATTAGAAACATCACTTTTACACCTGTCTAGAGAGCATGGTAATGTGGTGCTTAATGTCTTCTGGCTCATAATTGCAGTCTTGCATAAGCTACAAATAAAGTGTCATTTGCATATATTATCTGTGAGTAATATGTTGAGAAACAGCATCAAACAAGCGTCATTTTGTCTACATCGAATTACCCTTTCCCTCGTTCTCTGTGAGCGTTCTAAACACCTGCAGATGTTTAGCTACTGGAGGGCTGGATCATTAGGTAAGTTGCTCCCACATGATCAGAAACAGTTGCTATGCAGGTGAAGAGAGGTTTCTGCTATTTTCCCATATTCATATGGGTGATTTCATTCTCTGAGACCCATTTCAAGGTTTAGACCAGGGGTGTGGAACTCAACCACTGAAAGGGCCAAATTAAAAATCTTAACAAATCTGTTTTTATTTCATTTTTACTTAACATTTTGCCATGACCTGAACTGGACATTGTGTATTGAAAAGTATACAAAAACTGAACTATTCAAAGATAATTTTAACCATTTATGCTCATGGGTATATTTCAGTTTTTCCATCTGAATGTTCATGCCCAAATCGTAAGGCTAATTATTCAGTAACTGCATGAAATATTTTTTTTTGTATAAGCTCCCTCCAAATTAACAGAACATGTGTTTTATGATCACACATATTAATTTATGTTTACAATTTACTGCTGAAAGCCAAAAATCTTAGACGCTCTTTGTATTATTTTATAAAAATCATTTTTACAGAGCAGATCACTGAAGAGACGCCATCTGTTTATAGGTTATAGCCCAGATTTGTGGAAAAATGAGTCGACTTTAGTTCAGCTTCTTTTATTATAAGGGTTTAAAACTACATCACCCATCTATTTGACTGGAAAGAAGACAGTTACAGCTCTCATATGACCCCCACCTTTTGAATGAAGCTTATGAAATATGAAAGTTATGAAGTAAAGAATTTGACGAAGTGTGTTTTGGAACCACCGGTGATCCCAAGGAGTTAAAGAGGTTCAATAAAAAAATGTTTTTTATTGATAGGTTTTAAATGCCTATTTGCTTAAATTAGACACCAGGCATCTTTTATCTTTGTGTAACCTCTGGCCTATAGAAGGGGGTCAGAGTGCACATTATATTGCAGTGCTTGCTGGGAATTGTAGTGCAGCTGATGGTGAAACGGGCTAATAATAATAGAAAATGAAAATAATTTCATGAGCCGAACAGGATTGTGCCACGGCCCTGACTTGGCCCGTAGGCCTTGTGTTTGACACATGGGGTTCAGACAGAGTGTAAATCAGTGGTAAACTATGACTATTAGAGCTAAGTCCTGAGTTTAGGCCATAAATGTGAAATCTTAGCCAGTGCTAACTTCTGCTAGTACCCCTGTGGGATTGGGAAGCTGATGAATCATTTGAGAATTTTTGGCCGCTCTAGATTAAACATGTGCACTTGAAGCTTTTAAGACATTCCATATGTTTTATGTGAGCCTTGTAACAGACATTAACATATTTTAGCTTGTATCAGTTTTACAGTGACTCTTTCAGTAAGGAGCCCTCAAATAGAGCTGCTGCCACTGATTTCCATTCCTAACAACTACCTGGAACAACTAACTGAACTTCCAAAAGGCCTAGGATATATTCGAGATTAACTGAGCCTCGCCTTGGTGGTTGGCAGGAGTAGCTGGTTGAAGTTGGAGAAGGAGCTGTCAAGTCAGACAGTTTTACCAGCAGTAACCATGTGAGCCAGCTGTCGCTGGGTTCACATAACATATATAAAATTTCTTTGAAGAATATACATTTGAACTTCACATGTGAAATTAATAAGCACATTTACTGAACATACGAGCTGTATTCAACACAATTTTGTTTACATGGTTGTGGGCAGAGCTTCTGACCGATGATGATACCATGATAAATGCAAAAGTATGAAACTGATAAAAAGAAATGAACTAAAAACTACAGACATGTATTTTTTTGTTTCAAAGAAATCATCAGGTCTTCTTGCCATTTTTATCCGCCTGTATGAAAAGTTTTCAGGCCGAAGTGCCAGCGAGAAAATTCATTTTGCACTCAGACCTAAAGCCATCTTTGAATGCTGCAAAGGTTGTAATGCTTGTTCTCCACCACCAGAGGGAAACCTACACCTGCGGCTCTATAAAACAGAAAGCTGAAACTGGTTAAAGGAATATTTTGTTGCATTTGAACCAAATCTCTATCTGCCAGAGTCAGTTAGGTTGGACAATAACTTCCCTGCGCTTAGAAAAGAACATAGAACCCATTGACTCACAATACACTCATAGTAGAAGTCAATGGGCAGGTGCTTCTAATGAAAGTGAGTTTCAAGTCAGCAGGTTTTTTTGGCATTTTGCTAAGCAGTGTTTGAAAAATGTAATCCAATACAAATGACTAATTACTTTCCTCAAATTATAGTGATATGACTTTATTAATCTCGCAGCTCATTATTTTACTTTTATGTTACACTTTAATACCCAAACTGGAACGTTTAAGAGAAATTCCAACAGTCATTTTCAGGTCTTATTTAGAAAGAAACAGCCAATCGCAGCAAACATCACTTAAAAGGTGTCTGTGCCTTTGAATAACAAAGCCAGTTATGCTTTATTAAAATTATGAATGGCTGATGCTATTTAAAAATTGAGAAACTAGAAACCTTAAATAAATAAATCTTATAAATCTTCTACGGTGTAAATCTTACAGAGCTGATAATGAATGTAAATGGAGTCTGGCAGGCTTCCTCTGCTTGTGCTGTGCTACTCACATTCACAGAGTGTCTTCAGAGTCACACACACAAAATAACGCAAGTCGCAATAATCTATACAGAGGAAATTTATGGCTTAAATGCATCGCATGTAATTGTTATTTGTTCTCTTAGAGACGTCTGAGTAACACAGGTAACACAATTCTGTTAAACACAGTTTAATTACATGAAAACAATCACATTACTGTAAGATGTTAACTTTGTTGCATGCAAATTTCAGCACTAAGTACAAGGAAACGTGTCAAAATTATTGTTTGTGATTATTGATTGCCAGCTACAGACATGGCAGATAGAGATTAAGTTGAAGAGCAACGGAGCATTCATAATTCAGATAATTTCTAGAGGTGAACTGCCACTCAATAACGCCTTCTGCGTGAGTCAGACACTACAGAGTCCTAGATGAATGGTTTCCTATGCAGCTATTGTGTAAAATCATGGTTTGTAAATTGTTTTCATACAGAAAATGCGCTTATTTACTCAACACAGAACAGCATAAAGTGTTTTAACTCTTTTAAACTCCAGTAATAGGACTTTCTAACAGTATCTCATGTGTGTTCATCACATTAGTAAAAGCGTACTCGGCCAACGAGCTGACCAGCTCACCACCCAATCAGCGCTCGGTAACAGTAATGCTAACCAATCAGCATTCAGTAGCAGTAATGCTAACCAATCAGAACACAGTAGCAGCAATGCCAATCAATCAGTGCTCAGTAGCAGTAATGCTAACCAGTCAGTACTTAGTAGCGGTAATGCTAACCAATCAGAACACAGTAGCAGTAATGTCAACCAATCAGTGCTCAGTAGCGGTAATGCTAACCAGTCAGTACTTAGTAGCGATAATGCTAACCAATCAGAACACAGTAGCAGTAATGCTAACCAGTCAGTACTTAGTAGCGGTAATGCTAACCAATCAGAACACAGTAGCAGTAATGCTAACCAGTCAGTACTTAGTAGCGGTAATGCTAACCGATCAGAACACAGTAGCAGTAATGTCAACCAATCAGTGCTCAGTAGCAGTAATGCTAACCAGTCAGTACTTAGTAGCGATAATGCTGACCAATCAGAACACAGTAGCAGTAATGCTAACCAGTCAGTACTTAGTAGCGGTAATGCTAACCAATCAGAACACAGTAGCAGTAATGTCAACCAATCAGTGCTCAGTAGCAGTAATGCTAACCAATCAGAACACTGTATCAATAATGACAACCAATTGAACCAAAAAATTATAATCCCACAAAAATAGCTAGAAATTTTAAACTGTATAGCTCTGTTTTGCAGTTATATTTCTTCTATAATGGGAGAAATTATTCTTAGTTTACTAGTATAAACTTTCTATTTCATGTGTGTAAGTTGTAGTGTAGATTTCTCACAGTGGTTGAGAACAAGTGATGCAATCCTTGTAGCACTCAAAGCTTAATTTAAACTCTGCTGAGTGCAAAATGAATTTCAGTATAGCTCTGTTTGTCCCTTTCGTCTGAAAATCGTTTACTATAAAAAAGAAACAGCAGGTTGATTATCTGTTAGTGTTTGCCTTACATATGCGTCAGGTTGAGAAATGTGGTCCTCTAGCCAACCTAACAGACTTGCAGATCACTGCACCATCAAAACCATCAAAGGAACCAGCTTCAAGTTAAACATTTTCAGAGAACTGGTGGTATAATCACTTTTCCATAAAAGGATAGTCACGACAATCATCTGCCAATGTGTCACGGATTTGAATCCCTCTTTGAAAAGCCTTGCATGACAATCTAAATATATTCACAGGGTATTACAAATCCATCCCCAGTGTATAGACAATGTGCGTAAACATCTGTGGATGGCTCTCGCTGGTCAGTGAATCAAAACAAATTCATTATGGCGGATTATTTTGAGCTTTTGTAGAAGTGCGTGTTTCATGTTTTGGCTTTCTTATGTCAATAAATATCCACATTCATATTTGTATCAATTATTCAGTCCAGTTGATGGTAAAACCAGACACTGTACAGTAAAGAGCCCACATCATGGAAAACAGAATTTCCTCACTTTTTTAACAAAGAGATTGATGTCCTATGTAGACTTCAAAAGTTTCAAAACATACCATTTACTCGCCAGTCCATACAGCTCATATATGGAAACTAAAATGCTAAAACAGAGCCCGTCAAGATCCACTGTTGCGGTGCAAAGTCAGCTTGTCACACAGTCCCAGTCAAACCTCGCAGTGTTTAGTTCCTGGCTAGCGGCCCAGTCAAACTCCTAGGTTGTGGTACAAAGTCCCCGGCTCACAGCCTAGTCAAGATCCGCTGTTGCGGTGCAAAGTCCCAGCTTGCCATGCAGTCCCTAGACAAATGTTGCAGTGTTTAGTTC